CTGAACTTCAGAGTGCATGGTGGAGATAGGCCCCGAGAAGGACAACATCACCGAGAGGAGTGAGGGCCTGGCACGCAACTTCGCCATGACGCCCACTGAAGCCCTGATCGTTCAGTTTTTTGTTATGAATGTAATTATGTGTATATTTGTGTGTGCCGGCTATTATTTGATTCGATCCCTTGAGGACGAATTTCTTATGTTAGCTGATTTTGTATATGTTCGTTTAGTTCCACAAGCCTTTGACAGAGCTACTGATGACCTGAGTGATGGATATGAGGTATAATTCTGTTATGCCTTCAGCAAGGGGGGATGTCATGACCCAAAGGCATGATTTTGTGTGTGCTTCGGCACCAGAATTATCCCCGACAAGTTGCAGCTTCATTGCACGGGAGAGTTTCCTGTTGCAGAGGAAAACCCTGGTGCAGGAACGAGTTTCCCGCCTTTCTGCAGCTTCTTTTGCAGGGTGCATTGCTCAAGTTGCAAGAGAAATGCACGGTGCAAAAGAGTTCCCGCCACCCGTATGCAAATTTGTTCCCTGCTATTGGCTAGTTCTAAATTATTCCCATGTGGCAGCTAACGATTGGCCTGTTAGCCGTATAAGAGGCTTGAGCGGTTTCCGCCCAAGCCGAAGAGGACTCCACATCCATCTCGTGGGGACTCTGGATACATGGCAGGGTAATAGAGACCCTGTGTGAGATTCAGAGGAGCTTGGCAGCCTGATCCATTGCCCACCTTTTCCCGTCTTCGAGTGGAAAGAATTTATAAGACGTATCTCCGATTCCGATTTTGGTGGCACGCTCACCCAGAGCATCCGGAGCTCTGTTCCGTGGAGCCTAGCAAACTCCACGTGACCGTCCGTGTTGTCTGTGTCTGTAACCACAACTCAAGCAAGTTTTCCAGCCTACACCACTGCCATCTCGGTGTAAGTAAACAATCTTTTGCTGGCCACAGCCCGCGTGCAGCACGAAAAAGGGCTCGGGTCGCTCCCTGCCTGTACAGAGTACAGTATGAATAGGAACCTTTTCAATCTCTCCCATCTCTGTGCTAAAATGAAACTTACTTTGGCATTGTGGATCTTCAGTATGCTGAAAATTGTGTTGTTGTTGCACATGCAAAGGAGGACCTACAAACAACCCTTAAATGCTTCTGTCAGTCATACCAGTGTATGGGACTGACCCTTTACATTGAAAAAATAAAGGTGCTTCACCAGCCTGCTCCAGGCCAATCAACTCCCCTGGCAAATCTTTATTGACAGACAGAAGATGGAGAATGTTGAACAGTTTGCATACCTCAACAGCCACCTCTCAAAGAAGGCCAACATCAACGAGGAGATCCAGTCTAGGATCTGATGTACCAGCTCTGACTTTGGAAGACTGTATCATCACATGTTTAGCAATCACAACATCAGGTCTTGAAAAAAAAATTCTACTATATAAGGCTGTGGTAATCCCAACTCTTTCCTGTGGCTGTGAAGCTCGAGTGACCGACAGGGACCACCTGAAAAGCCTGGAACACTATCACATGTGCTACCTCCAAAAGATTCTTGGCATAAAGTGGGAGGATCATTGCACAAATGCCAGTGTCCTCACCGATGTGAACACCACCAGTATGGAAGCATTGATTATTCAACATCAGCTGCAGTAGACAAGGCACTGTGTGCACATGCCAAATGTACATTTACCAAAACAACTACTATACTCCCAACTCAGCAAAGGACAAAGGACATGCAGGGCCAGCAGAAATACTTCAAGTATACCCTCAAGGCAAACATTAAGAAATGTGGTATTGACACGACAAAATTGGGAAGAACTAACCTGGGACAAGGCTACATGATGATGCCCTGTGAGAAAAGGCACATCTTTTTTTTTTTTGTGGAAAACCATCTCACCATGGAGGCAGAAAAACAACAGCAACAGAAGTAAAGTAAACAAGACCAAGAAATCCATGGTCTGACCCTCCCTTTAACTACAACCTGTGGCATTTGCCAGAGAGCCTGTGGCTCTAAGATTGGTGGTCGTAGTGATCAATGGACTCATTTACAACCCTTTACTTGACCCATGGGAGTGATTATCCTTGACTGTGAGAGATCACTGCCACTGCCAACCAGTGGATTCACTCTTTTCAAAGAGATGTAACTTGTATTCTGCTTTAAAGGCTGATGGACTGGTTCATACCTCAGTCATTCATAGTAGATTGTTCCACAGCCTAATGACTTCTGTTGAAGATCTCTGACTCTTGAAAGAGTCATTTTTAGTTTACCCATGTTTTCTTCATAGAGTAAAGTATTCTTGGATAATGTATAGAGACAGATGGTCCCCAAGTAAGCCAGGCCTGTCACATGCATGGCACTGTAATCCTCTCTCTGTTCTAACTGATGCTAGAGGTATATTTCTTAAATTAATCAAGAAGCCTAGTATATAATTGGATATAAAATTATTGTTTGTCCATTGCAGTATCTTTGTGCTTTTTGTAGCTTTTTACAATGCTATGTAGTAATATTCTTGGACAGCTGTATGCGCTGCATTTTATGGAGTATTAAATTAGCATGTATGAAGACAAGCAATCCATGCTTGTGGAATTATGCATCAGCAATATGTTTTGAAGAAAACATATTGTCTATTGATACTCTTAAGGCCTTTGCTAATTTTTTTCATGTTGATTGTGGTCATTGGTTTTGAAGATTGTATAATTTTGGGAGTTTGGATATGGTGACCTTGAACCTTTAGAGGCTGACAGTGTAAGTGGATATTGGGAGAAAAAAAAGAGAACACTATTGTGTCGTGTGATAAGGCAAAGAGAGAGTAAATAGTATAAGGGAAAACGTGAATGTTGCCTATTGTTTAGTGGAATATAAGGTCAAAAACAATGGAAAATTATTGGTAGAAAGCAATATTTCTATCACTAGCAAAGGATACTTACAATGAACGTATTACAACAGCTGTTTATGTTCTGCCTGGAATGCATCCTGAAGGAAGGACTCTATGTACATCTTGGCAGTTGTATCCCATTTTTAGTGTTCCAAGCCAGAGGAAACACCTGCTGCCTTGAGTGTAGGTTTGGTGAAAGACCACACAAGGTCCATGGCAGTTCTTAGCAGCAAGGATATACTGTAATACAGTGGCTGTTTAAATATCTATCACATTATTGTTTCTCCAGGGGCCTATGCTTACTTCAGATTACAATTTTACCTCGCTACCCCTGTAACTATAGCATTTAAATATATTTCTCAGTAATTATGATAAATGACAAATTATGCTGAACAAAGCCTTAAAAATCAGTATTACTGGAGAATATCCTGTGACATTGATGGGTGTCCCTGTGGATACACGAAACAAAATATATAATCTTTGATGTTTGGGAAATACTTTGGCAATGCAACTAGATATCAAAGTCATTATGATGACATGCTGGAGCAGAAAATTTTAAGAACAAACCAACCAACAGAAAAAAAAAATGCAGTTTCAAAGATGTTCACTTATGTTATATTATCTTTCTGAGGATAAAGTGCAGTATATTACATTGATGGTGAAACATACAGATGTAATACCTTCTTTTTTCTCTTTAAATTTTCTTTAACCTCCCAGGACCTTCTATCACTGATTTCAGAGTAGCTGTCCATAAACAAATAAACCCTAAAAGCCAACTTGAATGTGAAATCATAAAACTCATCCATAGACTGGATTGTTTTAACTTGGTCACAATAAAGACTCTAGGTTCTTATCTCTCATATTTTGTATTGAAGGGTAGCAGCAGAAGAGAAGGAGAGTATATTAGGCCTGTGCAAAGCGGCTAGCATTCACTTCGGATTTGGCCGATTTGGGGGAAAGTGATTTGATTTGGCGAGTCAAATCACTTTCCTGAATCAGTTTGGCCAAATCTGATTTGAAGATTCAGCTGAATCTCTGAATCAACCAGGCCATCCCCGCCAGCCTGGCAATGGCTGCCCTGCCTGCCCCAGCTTCTGGCACTTGGGAAAAAAAAAGCCCTGATTCAGCGGATGCTGTCAGGATGGGGGACGACCCCTGCTGCCCCCATGCTGACTCCCCCCAGCCCCCCC